CTAGAGATTTTTGGGGTTGCGTTCCCGATTGACCTAATTCCTATTGCGATGGGTGATGTCTGTGTCATCGTGGGCATGGACTGGTTGAGCCGATTCAGCGCTGTCATCGACTGTGAGCGCCAGCTGGTGACTATACGAGACCCTAGTGGGGGAGTTCTTACGGTGTACGGCGAGGGTACCCGTTCGGGATCAGCTTTTTGTTCGGCCGCTAGGGCGAGGCAGTGTCTACAGCAGGGATGTAAAGGTTTTGTAGCGTATGTGATGGATACGCGGGAGGTTTCCGAGAGACCGAGGACAGTGGAGGAGGTACCAGTGGTGCGCGAGTTTCCAGATGTCTTTCCCGAGGATTTGCCGGGAGTACCTCCTGCGAGGCAAGTGGAGTTTGGTATCGATCTGATTCCGGGGGCTGCGCCCATTGCGAAGGTGCCTTATCGTCTTGCACCTCCAGAGATGCAAGAGTTGTCCTCGCAACTCCAGGAGTTGCTGGGGAAGGGATTTATTCGGCCGAGTAGCTCGCCGTGGGGAGCACCGATTCTATTCGTCAAGAAGAAGGATGGTTCACACCGGATGTGTATTGATTACCGGGAGTTGAACAAGGTGACGGTCAAGAACCGCTATCCGTTACCGAGGATCGATGATCTATTCGATCAGTTGCAAGGGGCATCTTGGTTTTCCAAGATCGATTTGAGATCAGGGTACCATCAGGTAAGAGTGCGGGATGAGGACGTCCAGAAGACAGCATTTAGGACGCGATATGGGCATTACGAGTTCGTGGTGATGCCTTTTGGGCTCACTAATGCCCCGGCAGTGTTCATGGACCTCATGAACAGGGTATGCAGGCCGATGCTGGATCGGTCTGTGATTGTATTTATCGACGACATCCTGGTGTATTCTCGGTCTAGAGAGCAGCATGAGGGACATTTGAGGGAGGTCCTTGAGGTACTGAGGTCGGAGAAGTTATATGCGAAATTCTCCAAATGTGACTTCTGGTTGCGGGAGGTCCAATTTCTGGGACATGTTGTTAATCAGGCAGGGATATTGGTCGATCCGGCCAAGGTGGAAGCAGTAATGAGTTGGGAGGCACCGAAGTCACCTTCCGAGATCAGGAGTTTCCTTGGGTTGGCGGGGTACTATCGGAGGTTTATTAGGGATTTCTCCAAGATCGCTGTACCGCTCACCAGATTGACCCGGAAGGGTGTTACATTCTCATGGGGACCCGAGCAGCAGACTTCCTTCGAGACACTTCGTCAGAGACTGTGCGAAGCCCCGGTATTAGCTCTCCCGGAAGGGATGGAGGACTTTGTCGTATATTGCGACGCATCGATTTCGGGACTGGGTGCAGTGTTGATGCAGAGGGGCCATGTGATAGCTTATGCATCGAGGCAGCTGAAGCCTCACGAGGCGAGGTATCCCACTCATGACTTAGAGTTGGGGGCAGTGGTGTTCGCTCTCAAAATTTGGCGTCACTACCTGTACGGGGTTCGTTGTACTATATACACGGACCATAAGAGTTTGAAGTATTTGATGGATCAACCCAACCTAAATATGCGTCAGAGGAGATGGTTGGACGTGGTTAAGGATTATGACTGTGAGATCCTATATCACCCAGGCAAGGCTAATGTGGTAGCCGATGCATTGAGTCGTAGGGCGGAGAGCACTCCATTGCGGGACGTATGTCTGAGGTTGACGGTAATGACTCCGGTATTAGATGCTATTCGTGGGGCACAGGCCGAGGTTGTGAAATCCGAGATGCAGAAGAAGGAGCGGGTCGTCGGGTTAATTTCGGAGTTCGTTAAGGATGGACGAGGACTTCTGACGTTCCAGGGTCGGATTTGGGTACCATTCGTGGGCGGTACGCGTGCTACTTTGATGGAGGAGGCTCATAGATCGAAATTCTCGATCCATCCCGGTGCTACGAAGATGTATTTGGATTTGAGAAAGGAATATTGGTGGCCTTGTATGAAGAGAGACGTTGCTTGGTTCGTTGAGAGGTGTTTGACCTGCCGGAGGGTTAAGGCCGAACACCAGAGACCGCATGGTAAGTTGCAGCCCTTGGAGGTTCCTGAGTGGAAGTGGGAACAGATTACGATGGATTTCATCACCAAATTGCCGAGAACTGCCAGAGGAGTTGATGCAATTTGGGTGATAGTGGATAGGTTGACGAAGAGTGCACACTTCCTTGCCATTAGCGAAAGTTCATCAGCGGAGAAGTTGGCGGAGTTATACGTGAGAGAGATAGTATCTCGGCATGGAGTGCCGATCTCGATTGTTTCAGATCGTGATGTACGCTTCACTTCCAGGTTCTGGAAGAAATTCCATGAGGAGCTGGGTACTAAACTGCATTTTAGTACCGCATACCATCCCCAGACCGACGGTCAGAGCGAGCGGACGATTCAGACACTGGAAGACATGCTTAGAGCGTGTGTGTTAGACTTCGGGGGTAGCTGGGATGCGCATTTGCCTTTGGCTGAGTTTTCCTACAACAACAGCCATCATTCGAGCATTGGTATGCCACCTTTTGAGTTGTTGTATGGTAGGAGGTGTCGGACTCCCATCTGCTGGGGAGAGGTGGGACAGAGAGTGATGGGCAGTACAGAGATCGTACTTCAGACGACCGAGCAGATTCAGCAGGTTAGGCAGAGGTTATTGACCGCCCAGAGTCGACAGAAGAGTTATGCGGACAGACGCCGGTCCGAGCTGGAATTCCAGGTTGGTGATTTCGTTCTCCTGAAGGTTTCTCCCTGGAAGGGAGTGATCCGGTTCAGAAAGAGGGGCAAATTAGGGCCCCGGTTCATAGGTCCGTTTCGGGTAATTGCAAGAGTAGGTCGGGTAGCTTATCGGTTGGAGTTGCCAGCAGAGTTGGGTCAGATTCACAACACCTTTCACGTATCACAGTTGAGGAAGTGTATAGCCGATGAATCGGCAGTGGTTCCGTTAGAGGATATTCAGGTGGATGCGAGCCTGAATTACGCTGAGAGACCAGTAGCTATCAGGGATCGGAAGATCAAGGTTCTGCGGAACAAGGAGGTACCTCTGGTGTTGGTTCAGTGGCAACACCGGAAGGGATCGGAGATGACTTGGGAGCCGGAGCGTGATATGCGGGAGCAACATCCGGAGTTATTCGCAGAGCGAGACTTCGAGGGCGAAGTCTAGTTCTAGTGGGGGAGAATTGTAACAGCCCGAAATTTCAGGTATTGTTTTTAAAACTATTTTGGGACATCTTAGGTAGGGACTCGGCGAGTTGGTGCCTGACTCGCCGAGTAGGACCTCAGTCTGGGTCGCAGATTCGCGACTGGACTCGATGAGTCCATTAGGGACTCAGCGAGTCGACGCTGTTCAGCAGAAACCCTAACCGTTTCGTTTGGAACGTATATAATGCCTCTTAGGCCGTCATTGTACGTTTTTTTGGCCGATTGTGAAGAACATAGCATCTGTGGACGACTAGTGGAGAAGGGAAGGCTATTGGTGATCTTGAGGAGGTTGTTAGGCAAGAAGAAGCAAGACTTTGGTCAAAGGAAGATCAAGAGGATTGAGTTCTGGAGGTTGGGGACACAGAGATCACGTTTTCAGGTAACACTTGGTCCATTTCTGTTGTTTTGATGGTGAGCACGAATCTAGGGTTTATGAAACCCATTTAGTGATTAGATAGATTATAATGTTGTTACCAAGCGTTTAAATCCCAGTAGTAGTATGCTTAGAGGCCCAGGAAGTCCCACGTTTATATATATTTCGGAACCATGCGGATTACAGGAGGCAGTTGATCGACTGCATGGCATGGACTCGCCGAGTTGTTCTTCAGACTCGGCGAGTAGCTTGAAGGTTCACTGGGACTCGCCGAGTTGTTCTTCAGACTCGGCGAGTAGCTTAAAGATTCACTGGGACTCGCCGAGTCGTTCTTTAGACTCGGCGAGTGGAGTCGGGGTGGCCCCGCGATTCTTCCACGAGGATTCGTCGAGTCAGGAGGGGATACTCGACGGGTAGAGAGGGGAACAACTGGGAAGTTGGGAGGACATCTAGACTCGCCGAGTCGCCCTTGCACTCGACGAGTCCGGTCAAGTTGACCGTTGACCTGCACGTATTTTCGTAGAGTCAGTTGTCTTGTTTGATAGATCATTAATAAGAGTATGTGGTATTATAGGGAGCCTGCAGATTGGCGGATCGAGTGCGAGTAGTTTCAAGAGTCTATAGCTTACATACTACGAGGTGAGTCTTCTCACTATACTGTACCCGGAAGGGTTTGACTGTGTGACCGGAAGGTCGGATATGCTATGTCTTTTATATGTGCTATAATTGAAAGGAATAGTTGCTATGCATGCTATGTATGTTTCTATGGGCCGGAAGGCAATGTATTATGTGACAGGAAGGTCAGTGATGATTTATGATATATGTGATATATGTGTTAGAGTAAATGTATTATGTGTTATATATGTTTATGGGCCGGAAGGCAAATCATGTTATGGGCCGGAAGGCAATTATCTTATGGGCCGGAAGGCAATTTATCTTATGGGCCGGAAGGCAATTATCTTATGGGCCGGAAGGCAATCATTTTATGGGCCGGAAGGCATTGTACTGTGGACCGGAAGGTCCGGGCCTGGAAAGGCGTATATGTGTAAGTGGTATACTGGGGAACTCACTAAGCATTTATGCTTACAAGTTGTTATGTATATGTTTCAGGTACTAGCGAGGACCGTGGGAAGGCGCCGGCGTGACGCGTACACACTGCCATTGTTGGAGATCTTGGGGATTCTTTTAATTGTATTTTGAAATGGAACTTGGAATAAATACTCTTGTTTGAATAAAATAGTTTTATTTTAAATGAAAATTTTATTTGAAAATTTGAGCTATTACATATCAGCTTCAACCACAACATATGTGAAATGATATATTCCATTATTCCCATCTAAATCTTGTGCAATACAAACCAATAAATAAAAGTAAAAAATAAATCAACATACATGGAACATAAATTTATGGAGAAAATGTACCACAACAGATAAAATTTAACCATGAAAAGGTCCTTTCATGAAAGCCCCATCTAGCCTAAGAAATTCCCTCTTCCCTGCTACAAATCCTTGCTTCAAAGAACCAAGGCACATGTACATGCGTCTGAAGGTAGTTGTCTCAACATCAGGATTTGGTTCACTCTCGACATCAAGCTTGATAGTGGTGACTGGGTTTTGAGTTTGCACCTCTAAGAAATAATCATGTAAGATCTTATACTGAGTGGAATAATCACCCCTAATAGTTTTTAAGGCCGCTTCTCTTTCCCTAAAGGCTTTCATCTTTGAAATATTTACTTTGTAAATACGTTGAAGTTGTTCCCTTAAAGCCTTAACTAGAATTTTTGGGTTTGCTTACACCAGTTGTAGAATTTGATTTGAAAGAAACTTGTAATCACAAGTCCTAACCTTTCTTGTTTGAATACATTTATGTTCACTAACATATTTTGTAATTGTCTAATACTTGTCACGCTTCCACTTACTAGCTAAAAGAACCCAAGACACTTACCTTCTTCGTAGACTACTTCTTGACCGGTCCCACCACCTAGGCTTGTTATGGTTCCCTTGAATACAACCGTTACTCTGTTTTTATCATTCTTCTCAAAGTCCAGCTCCCTTCTTATTTCTATTGCATGTTGGTTAACCCTATCTTTAAACTCCTTTAACGAATTAAACTTTTGAAATAAATAGACAGGCTCACTAACTTAGGCGTTCTCGCTCTCATGTACCCTTCTAATAGCTTTAATTTTTTTTCTTTCACCTTCTATCCAATCATTCGATGAAGACTCAAACAAGAAAAGTTCATTGTTTATAACTTCAATGTCTAGTTCATTCCCATCATCTGTAACTACATGATGCTTTCTTTTAGAAGCACCTTTAATCCACTCAACATCCGGGTCAACATTCAAGTGGAATTCCCTCATTTCAACTTCAACATCATCAATGATATTGTCTTCGTCCATAAGAAAGTCACCATCTCGGCTGTCACTATCATCACCACTGCTACTATCATCACTACCATGTTCAATTTCAGTTTCTATGTCAATTGCATTATCAGTTTCCATGTCCGCATTGTCAATTGAAGGCTCATTTCTAGTAGGTGAAACAGGAGGGTTGTTTCTACTGGGCTCAAAAGGTGACACATCATTAGTCTCAACTTGTGTATCATGCCATTCCAAAAACAATCTTTTTGGTGTATAATCAATCTCAACTATACGTACCTCATATGGGTTTGGGGACATCAAGTATGTATGTAATTTCATTTGCTCGTGCTCTATATACACCTCTATTAGCTTATGTTGACCAACATATTTTGCTAAATGCCTTACATCATCATCTGAAGCTAAAGTATAACACCATAAATTTTCAAACAAAATTTTCATTTTTAAAATCACATAATTCTCATAACTCATTTCACAAAAATCCCAATTATCTCATTAACAAAACGCAACACCACAATTGTTTGATTAATAACCCAGAATCCTCAAAACATAACTTTTTCTCTCGTGTGTACAATCAAGCTGGCGCCTTCCCAAGATCTTGAGAAAAACCTGAAACACATAACACATAACACGGTAAGCACGAAGCTTAGTGAGTTCCCCAAAATACCACACATATCTCATTAGCCTCTCATGGCTATACTCAGATAAGACCATCTGGTCAATGTGTCTCAGCGGGACCCTCCGGTCCCACAATTCAGGTGGACCCTCCATTCCTAACTCAGTAAGCTCAGAATAATACACAACATAAATCACAAAGACATAATGAAGGATATCAAATACTCAATATAAGCATATAAGACCCTCCGATCACAATAAGGTTACCACTCTAGGTAAAAGTATAGTGAGAAGACTCACCTCGGATGATGAACAACTCCTATAGATGTTGCTACTGCACCAACCTCTAACACTGGACCAAAATCCACAATTACCCCATTAAGATCTAAGTCGAAATCCTCACTCTTTAGGTCTAAAGGTAGTCCACCAACTAGCCCATTAATAACCTAAAACTTATTGGGCCCACCAAGGCCCAATAATGAATGGGCTCTCCTGAGGCCCAACTATCAAGTCCAAGCGACAAGCCTAACACAAGGGCCTAAGACATATATATATATATATATATATATATATATATATATATATATATATATATATAATATTTCTCTGTTCAAAAACTCTAGTATAATAGCCTAAAGATCCAGGCCCAAAATAAGATTTAGCCCAAAAAGACCACAACGAGGTTACGCGGGGCGTACCTCCCTTGGTACGCTCAACGTACACACGAAATTTGATCAGGGACACCAGCCTAGTATGCAGGGCGTATTAGGATTACGCTCGACATACGTCTAATATGGCTTTTTCCACTCTCTTGGTCTTAACCCGTTAAGACCTTAGCTCATATCACAGATCTAGACTCCCTAGAGGCTCTTACTCCATAAAGTATGTGACTTTAAGCCTTTGAATGGTTGATAAAGTCCCAAATACAAAAACTCTCACTCCTTACTCTCAAAGATGCTCATATCTCACACATGAGGTGGTTCTCACGTCCAAGACCTCATTTTTATGGATCCTCTCCACTAGAAACACTCCAAAACCCTAAAATGGACCATATCATGAACAAATAAAAAAGGATGGGAAAGCTTTGAGATTTATACCTCCAAATGATGCTCCAACCACAGAAAAGCTCAAATCCAAAGCTTAGACTCAAACTCCTGAATCTTCCATGCTCCTTCTTCACTCCAAAATCCAACAAGATCACTTATAAGCTCACAATTGATCACTCAATCTCAAGGGATGGATATCAGGGTTTGAGAGGGTTAAGCTGCTAGAAATGGTGGCCAGGAATGAGGCCATCTTATTCTTTATATAGGGACACCCCTCATTTAGGGTTTTCACTCTGTGCCTAGTACGCCCAACGTACCCTCTGGTATGCCCAACGTACTAGGTGGCTCCGCTTCAGTTTCACACTTATGAGTACGCTAAGTGTACACACATGTATGCCTCACATACTCATTCGCCACTTTTCTCAAATAAGGGATCTTTCTTGCCAACACTTCAAACTATCATAACTTCCTTGACATAACTCAGTTTCCATTGAACCTTATATCCACGGAAAGGTGACGAGAAGCCCTACACTTCTAGCAACTCGTCGCAGCCCCAAGGCTTCCTTATGCCCGGGTTGCAGCCCACGAACCCTAATTGCGGACAATCCGAAACAGGATGTTACATAAAGCGAACAAGCCAAAATCCATATCACAAAGTGGCCTTCGAAAATGATTGTACATCTCCACATGTAGGTTTTCATCAATATACCCAAGTTTCACCATCATGTCATTAATATCGTGAACACAGAAAGTCTCGATAACTACTAACTCGACATAATGTCTCTTTCCGTTTACATAATTCTTTCCAGGAAAATCAGTAAACTTTCCACCATGGTTTAATAGCATGCAAAACATAGTCGGATGTTCGCCTATTAAGGAAATGCCCAAAAAAATGGATTAACACTTGATTTGGGTTGTAGGATTTCACGTAGCAAATGCAAATAAAAAAAGGATTAATGGTTAGTTCATGTAGACTTACCATATTGAAGACGAACTTCTGCTTCACTAATGATTCGACCGCATGCTTCACTTAATTTCCAAACTGACATTATTGATTATTTGGAAAAACATACAAAGTTTTAGCAAGCGATTAGGGTTTTTGGTTTGAGAAATAAAACGGATTTCATCTGACAAGTGTGTTTTGGTTTGACGATGATCGAAATTGTAAAACCATCCGTCTTCTAAATGACGCTAATACATTGTAGGGTTGAAGGGACAAAAATGCCCCCAACGTGCCACTCACGTGAGGGGTTCCTAACCCAAATCAAATGGAAAGTCAAGTAAATGACTAAGTGGGTAACAAATTAAAGTTATAGGGATGGTTCGAATTAAAAATTCTTTCCAGAGACGAAGCGTGCAAATAACACCAAACCATAGGGACCATCCGTGTAATTTTCTCTATTTAAAAAAAAATTTAAAAGTTTTAAAAAACCAAAATAAAATTAAAACAATTAAATTTACAACTTTACGACTTTTACTCTTTTACAGTTTACCTTTTTTTGTTGTGATTAATGTTTAGAATTTTTTATAGATCTAAAAATATATATATATATATATATATATATAATATATATATATATATATATATATATATATATATATATATATATAAATAAGATATTTTCCATGATTGAAACTTATAAGTTAATTTTTTTTTCTTTTGCGGGATTTTATTATCCCGATCAGGATCTTATAAACCCAAAACGATCTTACGAAAGATCTCATCGTAGATACTATTAAGTGATTACCTAATTTTTTTTTGTTGTTAAAAAAACAAGATACACTTTTAAGTATATATTTAATTTTAGTTACAGTTATTTATTCATAATAAAAAAGGTTAAGAAAGAACTTTAACAAAAGTAATCGACTTACTTAACTCCTCCTCCAAGATTCCATGGGGCAACATGGTGTAGCAGGGGATCACCAAGATCTATGTGTGCTCATCTCAAATTGCATTATTGACCATCGGATTATATCTAAACATCGACCTCACATGACGATGGGTCTAATCCAACGGCACATATAACTCTCACTGATCTAGCTCAGCCCTTGTCGTAACACTGTATCATCCAAAAAGAAAAAGAGGTGTACTGTACGTGGAACAATGGCGAAGCACCAAGCGGCTTCATACTCTATGCATAAATAGTTATTTTGCACCCACTATTATGCGTACATGTCTTATTTTACCCATACACTAATATTCTCATCATTTTGGATCTTTAGCTTTACATTTTCTTTTACCAACTTACCTCTTACCAACTATGCTTTTAGATATAATCCTATGGTCAATAATGTTGTTAAACTTTTAACAACTTATCCGAAATATTTGTTTCATTCAAATTTAATTTATTATTATATAATTTATTTTATTTTTCATTTTTATTATAATCAAGTTAAAACTATTTATTTAAAATTTTGGAATATATATTGTTTAAAATAACTATGTTATTGACTACAAAATAATATTTTTTACACAAAATTGTAACTATATTGAACTATTTGATAAAATTAATACATATTAGAATTACACCTTAAATGGTTTCTAATCGCAACATACGCGTTAACGCGTGAATCATATTAAAATATAATTATTGATTTAATAGTACTTTTAAATATTATTATAATCACTTAGTTTAAAATTTTTGTGGTTGATAATTTTTTTTATTTTTTATTTTTAAATTTTGATAGATTATTTAAAATATCATCCAATTTTGTAAGGTATTTTAACATAATTTATATAATTATGTTACTATTAATTATTAATATTCTTAACCGAATAAAAAACCACTTTTATTATGAAAAATCATGAAGACTAAAGTCTAGGTAGAAAGTTTTATTATTTTTACTTTTATTTTATATTAATGAACCAATTTCTATTCTTTATTTGAAAATATCTGAAAAATTATGGAAATTTTAAATGACTGTTTTGTAAGTAAGATGATACCTATTATATTATATTAGACATACATGTGTTACATGTGATATAATTATATGTTTAAACCATTGACAAGTATATGCTATTGTAAATCATTGTCATTGTTATCATGTTTAACATTTCCATTGATACTCTTTGGCAATTATTAGACATTTATAACATTTGCAATGAAAACATTCTTATTGTTAACTCTAAATTATTATAAATTATAAGAACAATACACATATATATACTAGCTGTTGCCCGCGCAAAGCGGCGGGCGACAAATAGTTTGTTTCGACAATTAATTTCTTTTCGATGGAGAATGATTATTTTCAATTCAATCATTATTTTGTTTTAGGAAACATATCATATTAAAAATAAAGAAAATTCATGAAATGACCAAATTATAGGGTGTTGAGTATTTATTTGGATAAAAAAAATCTAGTCAAAACCTTGGAAGAGAAGATTTATAGGAGTTTGTTTAAATTTTAATATTATTTTATTAGTGATTTGTTGTACAATTAGCTTAATGATTGGGACGTCTTAAAAAAATATTATTATTTTATTCAATCTATTTTTAGAAATAGTGGAATTTGTTTTATAAGATAGTATATATTCTTATTGTTATCATGTTTAACATTTCCATTGATACTCTTTGGCAATTATTAGACATTAATAACATTTGCAATGAAAACATTCTTATTGTTAACTCTAAATTATTATAAATTATAAGAACAATATAT